TGAAATGTGTCTTGCGGACGTAGTGCAGTAGCATATAATTTTATATCTTTACCTGATTTCTTTGGTTTCAGCTGCTAATACTGTCAACAAACCCGATGCTCCAAGAGCTTTACCTTTGTGCCCTATAGGAAAAGAGAATGCTGCTTCAAAGAGTTCAAAAGGTTTCCTTACTTTTCTTATCATTTTGACTATGCAACAAATATATGATTGTTGTTGTTATAAGAACACTTCTATTTAGGTTTGTCAGCACAATCAAGTCCCTCAAAGCGAAGTCTCAACCTACTTGAAAGAGCCAAAATGTGCAGCAAGGAAATGAACAATAATACATTTGGCTTATTGAGTGGCTTGCCGCAATGTTCATCAGTATTGTCTAAAAGTAAGTTTCATTATCATGTTGCATGTTTATATTACTAAATCTAACTTTTTTAATTTGCTAAAATGCTTGTTTTACTAAATTTTGTTTTTATTTTAGTTATATCAGGGCCTTTCAGTAAAACCCAAAACTTTGCCATGAATGTTGATTAATCATTGGGATTGCTTCTTCCAGCTAATTCTGATGAAACATTCATACTTTCTGTCACTCTAAACCCTTTTTTCTGCTCTCCACAACAAAAGTGTACATGCAATTTTTCAACTAACTAAATTTCGTGATATCTATCTGATTTTAGTTCGTCCTCGCTCTGCTGCAAAGCGAGTTTCATTTCCTAAAGGTAGTGATAGTGATGTTCCGCAGAGAAAGCAGATACGATCTCAAATCACTTCTACCTCTGTTGGTTCTACTGTCTCTTCAAAAGGTAAATTATGCTACCGTTTTACTGAAACACTATCATAGTGCATGCTTTTCAAAAACTTTCATCTCTATTATAATCTAAATTATTCTCTTCTTATTTCAGGTCCTCCTGGCTCCAAACAAAGCTTCAGTAGTGATGATGCTGCAAAGCGAGTGTCATTACCCAAAGGTAGTGATAGTGATGTTCCACAGAGAAAGCAGATACAATCTCAAATCACTTCTATCTCTGTTGGTTCTACTGTCTCTTCAAAAGGTAAATTATACTACCTTATTACTGAAACACTATCATAGTGCATGCTTTTCAATAACTTTCAACTTTATTATAATCAAAATTATTATCTTCTTATTTCAGTTCCTCCTGGCTCCAAACAAAGCTCTAGTAGTGATGATGAACCTTTATCTTCTGTACGCGTAAAAATGTTTGAAAGTGGCCACATTCAGAGAACATCAGCATTGAATTGTAAGAAGCCTTCTGAGTCTTTAAATGTTGGAGCTACTCCTTCAGTTGTTTCCTCTCTGGTTTTGCAAGGTAAATTTTCTACAGCAATTATTAAATGTTTGCTATTCCTAAACGTTTCTAAATTAAATTATACTCTTCTAATTTCAGACCCCCCTAGCCCCGATCATTCTCAGAACAATGCGTCAGATACACTAAGTGTTAGTAAACAAACCAATTTTAGAGTGCTTCAAAAATCTCATCAGTTTTCGCCATGTAAGTAAGAGTTAGTATCCTAAACTATTTTCCTTACAACTGTCAGTTAGTCATGTCCATTATCTTGTTTTTCTTCAGCTGTAACCCTTGAGTGTGGTGAGAATGCCAAAGTTGTTACCTCTTCCCCTAAAATCAACCAATCAACCACAACTGCAGTTCTGTCCCCTGGCCTATCTCCAGTCCCAAGTAAGTAATTTTCTGTTGATTGTCATCTGATGTCTCAAGATAATAATCATAGCCAATTCATCTCAATCATTTTATTTTTCTGAACTCTACAGAGATTTTAACTCTAAGTGAACAACAGGATGAGGGCAGATTCAAGGGGAGAGAGAGAGAAGAAACCAAAATGAGCTTACGTCCAAGAAGAACTGTTAACAATAAAGAAATCTCTGACTCTGAAACCGAGCACTGGCCATCTCCTCCAAGCTCAAATAGATCTAGTGATGGTAATTTTTTATACTTCACTGCAACAATGTTATCTTTTAGAGGAAAAATATTAATGCAATGTATCTCTTTCTTTACAGGTTTCAAGGCTCTTACACCCTCTAGTAGTAGTAGTGGCAGTAGTGGTGTTCACGCACAAGAGAAAATAGACCTGCCTCCAAAGTCTTTAGTACCTAAGGCAAAGCCAACCACAACACCAGATGCAATTCCTATAAGTAACAGATCAACAGCAAAGAAATTAGACTATAATGGTAAGAAAATTTTAACAAATATTGTTTTAAAGTACACATTTTAAAAACTTACACCTTTTAGACAAAAGCCACATCATTTAACTTAGATTCATTTTTGTGTGCCCCTCTGAAAATAAGAGGGATTACTGGGAACATTCCTTTACATTTCACTGTGAGATTATTTTATTTCACTTTATTTACAGATGCACATAGCCTATCTGAAGAGGAAGTTGACAATCCTGATATTGGTTTGTGTTTTCACTCAAAACCTTTTGGATCACAATGCATTAGCAAACATTGAAACACTTGTTTTTTTTTCTGTTTTCTTAGTCATTTCATCACCTCCTAAGCCTCGTCCTAAGCCTTTCTGTTGTCCAAAAGCAGTTGTTAAAAAGTCAGCTAGATCTTCAATACCCATCATGAAAAAAGGTCAACAGAGGAAACAGCCAGCACGGCAAGTAGACAGTAAGTTAACTCAACTGATAGAAAGATTATTATTTTTATTGTTTATGTTTGTGGTTGTCTTGTAAATTAATATTTTTAAATTAATTTTATTATTTCACTTTAAATCTAATATTTTTTCAGATTCTGTGTCGTGTCCAAACTCTGTGCTCATTGACATTGAGAAACCTCGTAGCTCAGCCAAAACAGCTAGGAACCAAAAGCCTGTTGCTAAAGGTAAGTTAAATGCAATGAAAGTATATGTTTCAAATGTATTTCAAATTATCATAACACCTTTATATATATTCTCTAACTTATGTATCTTTTTCTTTCAGGTTTGCGTTCAAATGCTGCCAAAAAAAAATGGAAATGATACTTCAGAGGGTGGTATGTTTGACTTGAACTTTATCTGTAAATTTGCAATGAAACAAAACATTTTAAAATTTAGTTTTACTCTTGTTTTTTAGGATGGGTCAAAGAGGATATTGAAGCTCCATGGCATTCTGATCATGTGCTTTTTACCATACCTGAGGTTATTAAAGAACCCATTGAATATTTTCGATACTACTTTGACTCCGAAGTTATGGATCTCATTGTTCAGCAAACCAACCTTTACATTCATCAAGATCGTGGAGAGGCTTGGAGTGTCACAGAAAATGATATCAATGTGTTTCTTGGTATCCAGGTATATATGGGAATTTGTTCTCTACCGGGCATAAGAGACTACTGGGCCTCATGCACACTTGTCAAACAAGTCGCTGATCTAATGCCCCGGAATAAATTCCAGAAGATTCGTTCACACCTTCACTTTAATGACAACGCAAGTGTGGACCCTGATGAGACTGACAGAATGGTAAAAATCAGGCCATTGATAAAAATCTTTCGCACTAAATGTCAGTTGCTAGAAGAGGAAGCCGAGCAGTGTGTGGATGAATGTATGGTTGGTTACAAAGGTAAAAGGGCTGCGTCGATACGCCAGTATATGCCTGACAAGCCTAGCCATAAATGGGGGTTCAAAATTTTCAGCCGCAATGGTAAATCTGGACTCATGTATGACTTCATACCATACTATGGAGCCAATACCTTTGAAAGTGAACATCTCACCCGAGAAGAAATTGCCATTGGAGCTGGAGGTCAAGCAGTAATATCCTTATGTAAGAGCATCAAACATCCATCCTCAACTACTGTAACATTTGATAATTATTACACTGGTCTACCTCTTCTGAAATATTTGAAAGAAGATATGAATATTGTGAGCCTGGGTACCATCAAAGCAAACCGAACAGGTAAATGTCCTCTGATGAGTGATGATGAACTTGAAAAGCAAGGAAGAGGTTCATATGACTACAGGAAAAAGGAAGATGTTTTTGTTGTGAAATGGGCAGACAATAAATGTGTTTGCCTCGCCAGCACAAAAGTTGGTCTCAACCCTATGGGGACCATACCCAGATATGATGCTGATGCCCATCAGAAGATTCCTGTTCCCTGTCCTCAGATTGTATTAGAATACAATTCAACCATGGGTGGCACCGATCTGTTTGATCAATACATGGCTCTTTACCGAACACCTTCTAGAGCAAGACGCTGGTATTTCCCTTTGTTTGGTTTTCTTCTAGAGCTGGCACTCATTAACTCTTTTCTCTTGTACAAGAGGGAAAGTGAACTCATAGATGCCAAATTAGAATATCCCACACTGAAGGACTTTCGCCTGAAAGTTTTTAGTGGGCTTACTGCAGTGGCACTTGCAGGTCAGGGCCGCCCAACTCTTGATAGGGCCCTCTTAAAGAAAGCTACCAAAAGACGCTTGCCTCAACATGGTGCGTCAGATGACCTTCGAAGAGACAATATTGGCCATCTTATAGGAAGAACACCAAAAAGAGGTAGGTGTGCGTACTGTGCTACAGGGCACACCAGTTCAATTTGTTCGAAATGTAATAAGAGGTTGTGTGTGACTGAAACAAGAAACTGCTTTGCACAATTCCATATTGTTAAAGTTTTGCCTGAGCGTAAACCAAAGAATTAGTAAATTTAGTTTAGTTTTCGTTACTTTATACCAATGTATTTATTCACTTCAAGATCTATCTGCAATATTTCTTATAGTCCTTTATTTTATTTCTTATGTGGAGTTCAATTTACCCCAGAATTTCTTTTAACTACTATTATTATTTATCCAGTGCTTGATATAAATGTGCCATGTCAGTTACAATTGTTTCAACCTTGAAAAATTGTATTGTGATTTTAATGTTCCTATGTTTTTATCCTGCTTGAAATTTGAAACGTTAAATATTGCTTGGTATAAATTTGCCATGGCCGTTATAATTGTTTCAACCTTGAAAAAATGTATTGTGATTTTAATGTTCCTATGTTCTTATCCAGCTTATAATTAAATTTGAAACATTTATTTTAACTGATATTATAATTTCATTTCATGAACATTCATTATATCTTAATTATTTACAACATTAATTTCCAGATGAACAACAAACATATAACATAAATTCAAAGCGATGTGGCATCACTTCCTCTCTCACTACTTGCAGGGCAGCTGCTCTGAACCTATAAATAAAACAGTTTTTGTTAGCTTTTAAAGGCGCAGAAGGTATGCATCACTGCAGTGTTCAGCCAGTCTTTGGCACTGACCTCAAGCAAAATTTCGATTCTTTTGTTGAGCTCCATGTTTTCCAGAGTGAGCTTCTCAACCTGCGCTTCTAGGTCCTGCGTCCTTTTCTGGAATGCTTGCTGCAGGTCCTGAAATTTCCTCTTCTCAACCTTGAACGACTCTTCTAAGAAATCTAGTTGAAACTCTTTTTCTTCACATTTTCTCTGTTAACAAGTAGAAAAAAATAAGTTAGGTACCATTTACCACTGAACGCTATGGGTGAGTCAGGCGAGGGGCAGGGAATGGGGAGCGAAGGTTAGCGGCGGTGGAATTACCAAGCGCGCGCTATACGGCAAAGTTTTCTAGTGTACCCGTAGCCCGCAGACGACCCGCAACCCTCTCTCGGTCCGCCCCCTCCCCCCTCCGCCAGTCCACACGTGGACTTCCCTTCCCATATCTAATAAGGACTCACCCTGAGCACCACCATGTCTCCTCGCAGGCAGCTGCGGTGGGCAGACGGCGTCGTGAAGCACGAAGCCACGCGCCCCTTCACACTGCAACTCCATCTAGCGCAGGGGCAGGGAGGGCGTGCAGCAGAGAAAGCTGGAAAACAAACGCTAATTAGAACAAGGACACCTGTCAGTTGGGGCATGAACATGGGAAAAGAATGGAGAGCGCCCGCGCGATCGATGGGATGCGGCGCTGGGCTTTCTTACGTCTCGCTATCACTCAGTTTCGCAAGAATGATCATGCACTGTAGGGTAATCGACACGGCACCCTCCAGATGTCTTTTTCAGGTCACACGACAAATCTACCTCCACTTACCTTGACTCGGCATAATTTTCTTGATGAAGCACTTGATGGCGACTGTAATCGTCTTCATGTTTGGTTGCTATGACCAAGCGTTGACGAAGTGTTGACAGGCGCGCCTGCGCCCTGCGCCGTTTTGAACTGTTGTCTGTGGCGCGCGCGGCAACAAAGGCAACACGGGTGGCCGTGCCCGGGCGGCCGGTCGGGCCGGGCCTTGGGGGCCTAGCGGGGAGGAGGGAGGGGAGCGGGAGGGGTGAGGTCGGCGTGGTCCGGCTGACCGGATCGGCCTGACTCCCTAGGCCCGACCGGCCAGCCGTGCGCAAGCGCGAGCTCTCGGGCGCCTGATGGGTATGCAATATCCTGGTGGTAGTGCATGCGTGTGCTGCGGGCTGGCCTACCCTAGGCCTGGCAGGCGCCTATCTCCAGTGATACGTTGAAAAATAAATATCAGAAAAACGGAGAACATTTTCCGTATGATTTCTTGACCGGCTCCGCTGGCCGCGCTGTCTTCCCACACTCTGCCCTCGCTGTCTCTTCCCCTCTCCTCCCCGCCCCGCGTCCATCACCTGGTCATCAGGCTTCGAAATTCTCGCACAACGTTTTATTGTTATCGGCATTTTGCCATGAAATATACTGTCATATCAATTTCGAGCATCCTGAAAAGATGTATGAATTCATTGCTATGCAGTGTTCATTGTCTGGTACGAAGCCAAATCCTGAAGACCCAATGTCGCACCAATGCGACATGTCAAAACCAACGGAGTGACATGAAATTTTTGGGTTTTTGAAATGGAATGGACTTATTGCACTGTTTTGTCGGAGTAACTACCCCCACAACACCTTAGGAATGATAGAACAAGATTTTTGTCGAATTTTAGCAAAATTAGACTTCTTAGCCAACTTACGTCGCAATTTGCTCAGCTGAATATTACAAAAGACGCAGTTTTTCGACGGCGCCATTTCAATTACATGTCTGACACTCGAAAACAACCGTCATGGTCTCTCTGTGACTCAAAATAAGAAAAGCACACACGCGTACTCAGGGAACCCAATGTCGCACCGGTGCGACACATCAGAAATCGTGCAGCAAACAGTGCCAAACGAAAAATTTCTTCGAGAGTGTGTTCTTTGGACTCTAATTAAAAGGAAAACAGCAAAAAATATTTTTTTGACAAAAGTGGCACCTCCTTGGGCCTTACAGGGTTAAAGGTCACTCTTATCAGCGCACCGCCCCCTCCCTCCCCCCTGCCCCGCCCTTTGTTGTGGCTGTTGCCGCGGCGGGCGCAATTCGCGGTGTTGGCTGTTGCTGTTGGACTTGATCCACCCACGCCCAAGTTCCCATGGAGTGGCGGCCTCTCAATATACTCGAGCCATGTGCATCGAACGGATCGCGGTACTCACCCTTTTGTTACCGGGTCCTATCTTACTTGTTCTTGTGTTAGACGTAGTACGCTAATATTGCTTCGCAGGGTATGCGCGGCATTCTGGCGGATGAGGAGGCTGCCATCTGCCACAAACTGACGCTCTTTGATTGCGTCCTATATCACCTGGGCGCAGGCCGTGAGTAGCACTGATTCCTACCCGCTCACAAGGCGTGCCGCTTTTTTTAGCAGATGATACTTCCAGTATCACTGCTTGTACAATACCTACTTTAACATATGTGAAGCTAATATGAAGCTAATATGAAGCCCCTACCTATATATATTAAAGCACCCATTATATTAGAGCCCCCAGGGGATGGAGAGGGTTCGTGGTCCCAAAAAAGTGGTTCATGGGCCCCCACCTGTTGCATTAATTACCTGTAATTACCT